CCAATTCCCCAATAAAAATCTTTAAAAAAAAAAATTATTCTGGGGCCGGCAGAGCGGCTCAGCTGGTTAAGAGCTCGCTTGGGATGCCAGCTCTGAGCAGCAGGGCTGCGGGTCGGATCCCACATTGAGGGCCAGTGATGCTTGCCCTCTACAGCTAAGATGGTGAACAACAGCTTGACCTGGAGCTGGGCTGCCGTGCGTCGCCGGGGACGGAGGAGGCTGCAGCCCCTGCTGCAGTGGGCTGCCATGGGCTGCCATGTGGCCGGCAGCCAGCGTGAGCGGCCCTGCGGCTGGCGTGAGCTGCCAGGAGCCACTGTGAACGGCCGTCCAGAGACCGGCGACCAATTGCCTCACCCAGGAAGAGCACAATGATCATACCAACATGGGCCACTTTAGCGATGTCCTCCACAACTAAAGAACAAAATAGCAATTTGTCTACCTGTCTGTTCCCCTTCCTCAATTCCCCAGCGCTGTTCCCCTCCCCCCAATTCCCCAATAAAATCTTTAAAAAAAAAATTTGATTCTGGTCTTATCCTCAAAGAGATGGTACAGCAGAGATGGCTCCCTAGTTATCCAGCAAAACTCCATGCTCCTCCAATATTCTGTGAGCTGGTACTGCTGGCTGGACAAGTGCTCAGCCAGGGACGACATCTGCCACCCCTTATATCTAGGTGGGAGTCCCAAGTGACTTTCCCACCAACGGAATGTGAGCCCAAGTGATGACTGTCACTTCTGCAACAGGACTTTTATTGTTAGAAGCACACGTTCTCACTGAATGCAGAGGTCTCCAAGACCCTAAGAAATAAAAGCAGCCTAGGCCCCTAAATCTCATGTACATACAAGGAAAGTCACCCTTTTCCAAAGAACACCCACACCACTATTATTAAACTGTAAGGTTTCATGGATGAGCCTCAAAATCATTATGCTGTGTGAAAGAAGCCAGACACAAAAAGCCACATATTGGCCACACCATAACCACTAATACAGGAGCAAGAAAATAAATTTCTCTCGTATCAAGTCACAGAAATTTTGAGAATATTGTTTTAAACAGCTATCCCTACCCTAACTAATACAGATGGCGGGCATGGGAGAGATAGCTTTATTCTAGTATTTTATTCTCAAATCAGTAATTTTACCTTATTCTCTCTTCTATATTGTTAACCCGTTTACTTATGAGTTTCTCCCCCCTTGTTAACACTGCTTGATCATATGATGTGGCACAAATTTAAATTCTGTATATTTCTTCTCAGTATCAAAGAGGGCGTCTTCCTGTTTTGAATAATACTATTGAGGGGGGAGGTGTCTAATATCTTCCTCTTATCCCAAGTAGACAAAATTTATTTTCCAAAGTTAATGGGAGAACAGAGATTATTTCAAGTTATAATAATATCCAACTGAAAAACTAAAAATAACTTAAAGTATCAAAGCAGATGATAAAGGAATTAAATCCTTATATTTTATAGCCTAACACTGATAAATCAAGTACTGTGCTTTTGAAAAAACAAGTTGGTACAGCCACTTTGAAAAACTCTTTGGCAACATGGATACTTCCCAACGCAGTTACTTCTAATCCTAGGATTTTACCCCAGGGGTGTACATATGTACAGCCAAAGGCCAAGAATGTAGAGCAATGCTATTTGTAATTGCCCCCAAATGGAATCAACCCAAATGTCTATCAACAGAAGAATGGATATATTCTAGTATGTTCATACCATCCAGCAATGAGATGAAACTATTACTATTGTAGATACAGCAACACAGACGAGTCTCACAGACAGAATGTTGCAAGGAAGGTGCCAGAAGAACACGCTGTAGGAAACCATTTATATATAAAGTTTAAAAACAGGCAAAGCTAAGCGATGGTGCTGGCAATCAGGATGGTAGTTAACTGTTGAGGGTAGCGCTTTCTGGGGTCCTTGGTAATATTCTGTCTTGATCTAGATGGGGCAACACAGATGCTCACTTTGTGAAAATTCATTAAGCCTAATCATTTGTGCTTTGTATACTTTTCTGAATGTATGTTTGATAAGGTTTATTTTAAAAGTTGTAATTTATAGATTATTCTAAAGTTATGAAGAATCAAACCAGAAATATTTTCCTTTGGGGAGAGAGGTCAGAGGTATGTCCCTTTTAATGATATTTTAAAAATAAAAATAATATACATGTAATACTTTCACTTCTTACCACTTTTGCTGCAACATTCAGATAAATTTTCCCATGGTTTGCACTATCAACAAAGATGTTTTGTATGCCATATTGTGTAACATCTTGTAATAAATTTTTTATGTTATCAATGCCACTGGATTCTAATTCATCTATACTTAAATCTAATTAATGCCACTTAGTATGTTTTGAGTGTTTTTTGCTAAAATTCAACATAATGGTAAATTTATTACCATATAACAAAAGTATAAAATAAAACTGTCATTTATGTACAGAGCAGCTCAAAATGTTATTAAATGCATAAAATAGTCAAAATTATCAACTTTCTGTGGGTTTCTGACACATTTTGGAAAAAAAAACCTTGAGAACAATTAACGCAGTGAAAGAGTTAAGTAATGCATTACAGGGAAATGGGCTGTCTATTTTCAAAGTTACGGTTTGATGCCGCACTCTAAACCTAATTCAGATTTTTAAAACTTACAAAGTAACAGTGAAGAGTCTTAAATTTAAAAAAATTTTAAAAATTTACTTCCACATATGTAATGCATTCCACAGTAGTACTAGTTTTCAAGTGTAATCCATCAGTATTTATTTAAAAATTCATGTTTAGGAAATGCCCTTTGTTAAATTTCATCAGTGCAGAAACTTTTTAAAGCCATTAATATACCCAAATAACATACTAAAGAAGTATTAATAGAAAACCAAATGCAAAATGATCATTTTAACACTACCTTATACATATAACTACTAGTTCCACCTCTACTTTATATCAAATATAAACTGCCATATACTAGTTGGGCACATAGATAATGTTAATAGAGACCCTTTACACAAAAGCAATGCAGAGGGGAAAAAAATGAGTACTATTAATACCATCTTCCCCAATTTTTAAAAGATAATTTTCAAACCTATTCCCTGAAAACCATTAGTATTAACAGGGCTACAAAACCACAATGATGGCTGTAAATATTGATGAAAGTCTGTTTAAAAGATAATTAAAAGTCTCTAACACATAACAGAATTTCTCAGATGCGCAATGATAATAAAACCCACATAATACCAGAAAGTGTGGTGTCAAGCCATATCAAAATATAATGAGCAACAACTTGGTGGAAGACGGGGAACATAAATACTTTTCACCAAGGAAAGCCTGAGGCCGCTATAGGATCAATTTTAATAAGAAAGCTACCTGAGTAAGGAAACTGGTTAATCTGTAGTTTTTCAGTTCTATTAGTGATTTTTCATAACACCTTTATTGAGATGTAATTCACAAATTGAAAGTGTACAATTTACTGGTTTTTAGTGTATTCAGAGTTGTGCGACCATCACCACAATCAATTTTAGAACATTTTCATCACCTCAGAAAGATACTCAGTACTCTGACTATAAACCCCTAATCCTCCCATTACCCCCAGCCCTAGGTAACTAATGTACTTTCTGTCACCATATATGTGGTTATTCTGGACATTTCATATAAATGGAATCATACAATATGTGGCCTTTTGCGTCCAGCTTTTTTCACATAGCATAATGATTTCAGGGTTCATCCATGAAACCTTGTAGTTATAGCATATATCAGTATTTAATTTCTTTTTATTGCCAAATAATATTCCACTGTATGGATAGACCACATTTGATTTATCCATTCCTCAGCTGATGGGCATTTAAATTATTTCCAACTTTTAGCTATCATGAATAATTCTGTTATGAACATTAATGCACAAGTTTTTATGTGGACATATGTTTACATTTCTCCAGGGTAGGTACCTAGGAATGCAATTGCTGGGTCATATGGTCACTCTATAATATTGTAACCTTCTGAGGAACTGC